TGGAGGTACGCCGTATTAGTCCTGGAGGCCTCAAGAAGCTCAAGCGTTTCCAGGTACGGTGTCTACGTAATATTGCCAGATTACCTGTTCATATCTCTAGAGTTGCTTCTGATGATTTACGTGAACAATGTGGTGTACACAGTGTTGAGTCTACTCTTCTTGTCCGACGGTGTTTGTGGATGCAGAAAGTTGTTGCCCCAATTTTTCGTGATGATGATGGCGACCCCCTTCTCGGTACTCGTGACGATGACCCCACTGTTGCTGTGCGTGCTGCCGTCTTTAGGGCTTTCTCTCGTTCGATGGTGTTCGCGAGGACTTTACTCCACGGCAGCTCCGACTTTATCATGATCTTAAACAGGTGTTTGAGGGTACTCGAGAGGAGGCTCGCGTGCGTGCTCGAATGCGAGGTGTCGAGGCCGAATCTGCGTTTCTCTCGAAGCCGTGGCTGGAGTGGCTTGCTACCGAGCCTCGGTCCACCTTCTCTGCCCTCCTGTCCTTCCGTGCCGCTCCGACCGAGAATGCCGATGTTGAGAAGATCCCGTGTCCTCAGTGTGGTCTTTTGTGTGCAGGACCTCGTGGTTTGCGTATCCATCAAGCTAGATTACATCAGTCGGTCGATACCATTCCTAAAGGTGTTACTGAATGTCCACACTGCCAGAGTAAGTTCACCAGGCGAGACTCCCTTGTCAAGCATATTCGTTTTCTCCGTTGCCCATTTCTCTCAGACGGTCCACCAGTACCACCTCCTCCAGTGCCTGAGTCCCCTGTGCCCGCCGACAGTGATGTTCGGGACGCCAGGCCGCCCGACTCGGAAGGCGGGAGACGACCTCTCGGGCCGAAGGCAGAAGGGCGCGAAGAAGGGCGGGGGCAAGGGCGTGGTCGAGGCCGCGGGCGTGGCCGAGGGCGAGAGCAGCAAGGACAGGGACCATGACGCGGTCGTGGCCGGCAAGAAGCGCGTGCAGGAGCTCCAGCTGATGGAAGCGATGGCCACGCTGACCCTTCAGCTCGACGAGGAGCGCGCGATCCAGAGCAGCGCCCAGAACTTCGTGCTCGAGGGTCCGACAGAGAACGAGTTTCTCAAGGTGATGGAGTGGACCATCGAGCAGTACGACAAGTCGGGCGTGGACGCACGCCAGGCCGCAAAGGACAAAGGCGAGGAGTTCAAAGGCAACCCGTTCGGCAAGAAGCCTGTGGCCCTGTTCTCGGGCATGTTGTATCGGCTGGGGTGCCTGGCCGAGAAGACGGAGGCTCGCAACACGATCTTGAAGCAGATCAAAGAGAGGGCCCAGAAGAAGGAGCTGGCGGACAACGCGCCAGCAGCAGCCACCAGCCTGCTGGACCAGTTCGTCGCCGCAGGCAAGCAGGCATCGTCGCTGCCCCCGAAGTTCAGGGCGTCGAGATGCTTCAAGATAGAGTACAACCTAAGCGGCGAGGACGACCAGGCCGAGGTAGCCATGCCTAAGTGGATCTTCTCTATTCCATCGAGCCGAGAGATTGAGACTCTCTTCTCCCAGGCCCGCGAGGCTCAGTTGTTCCGCGGGATGGGCATCGAGCTTGACTTCGACCACGGTCCGAGGAGCAAGGCTGCCAAGAGAGTTGCCAAGATTGCCTTCGGTTCGGACAGTGCCAAAGGTGGCGGAAAAGGCAAAGGCGGTCTCTTCACGAAGAAAGCTTTAGCGAGTAAGGCGTGCTTTTGCCATCTCCCAGCATCGTGTCTTGCGGGAGGTGGCGCCTGTGCGCCTGTGGCGAGCGGGGCCCGAGCCGCCCGCAGAGGCGGCGTGCTCGGCCTTGCTCTCGACTGTGCCGTGCGGCCGCAGTGCTGCGCGCGTCGAGGCAGGAGCCTGCCTTGATGATGGCTACGCCGAACATGCAGGAGCCTCTTGGACGGGCGAGCGAGGTGCTAATATATATATATATATATATATATATATATATATATATATATACATATACATATATATATATATGAGTAAAGGGGCCGAACGGTTATTCATTGTCCCTGGGTGCGTGGCTGAAGTGGGGACCCGTGGTGAGGATTCTGCTTGTTGCGTTGTTGTTGTTGCTGCTTGTTGTCGTCGTCCCACCAACGACCCACCCGCGACCCACCTCGCGACCGACCCCGCGACCCACCCCGCGACCCACCCCGCGACCCACCCCGCGACCCACCCGCGACCCACCCCGCGACCCACCCCCCCACCCGCGACCCACCCGCGAACACGCGACCCACCCGCGACCCACCCCGCGACCCACCCGCGACCCACCCGCGACCCACCGCGACCCAACCCGCGACCCGCCCGCGACCCACCCGCGACCCACCCCGCGACCCAGCCGCGACCCAGCCGCGACCCAGCCGCGACCCAGCCGCGACCCAGCCGCGACCCAGCCGCGACCCAGCCGCGTCCCAGCAACGACCCACCCGCGACTCACCTGCGACCCACTTGCGACCCATCCGCGATCCACCCGCGACCTACCCACATTGGTTTAACGGAAATCGGCGCCTGCAGCGGGCTCGTTATATAATTTCTGAAATTTTAGCGTCTGCGGCGGGCTTCTCCAGAGCCCCGCAGATTGCCGACGTCTCCACCATCCCCTCACTCTGATCAGCATCTGCGGGGTGCTACGTATATACATGTATATATATATATAGAGAGAGGAACAAAAAAGAAGAGAGAGAGAGAGAGAGGGAAAGAGAGAGAGAGAGAGAGGAAGAGAGGACTCGCGCGAGAGAGAGAGAGAGAGGAATCGAGACATAGAGGGAGATGAAAGACGTGGCTGTGCCCGACGGTGCGTGGCCCTGTTGACGGCGCCGCGGGGAGGGGTGGATGGGCGTGGTCACCTGGATGTGGATGAAGATGACGCTCGGTAATGAGGCTCTTCCTGCACTAGAGAACTATGCCGCTTGATACTGTAAAGACTCCATGGATACCCACGCACACCCAGCCGGAGCGATACCAAGCCTCCGACGCCGTTCCACCTCGATCGCCCGCGCTGAGGCCGCCGCCGCGCCACACACGGCCAGACCCTGTCGCCTGCACGAGAACGGCGCACATGCACCAGGCCTCAACGGGCCCCAGAAACGGCAGGGCCGTTTGTGTCACCGTTCTCCGAACAAATCTCTTGAACGTGGAAACGGTGACAAAAACGGCGACTGCAAATGGCAAGAGAACGGCTTCAGGATGGGAATCGGAAGCGGAACCCGAACAAAAAAACGACGACGGAACCGGCAACACAACGGCGACGGAAACGGCAAGAAAACGGCGAAACCGTCCGCAAACTATTGTTATGATCATAAGCTCCCCGTCGTGCCTGCTCGACGACCGCAGGACACGCCCCCACAAACCAGCCAACGCACCGGGCTCTGCCTCGGCCTTGGCTGCATTGCGAATGGACATCCGTCGTGGCATAGAAGACCCGCAGACACTCGCGAGATGAGGACCCGTATCCGATGAGAGGCCGTCGACTTCACAAAGCTTGTCTACATTATCGGATTCTGAAAAGCACCTTCCCTCAGATACAGCAAGGAATGCATCCTCAAGCCCAACCCGCGCAGCTTGCTTCGGGTCAGGAACCGTGCGGCTGAAGGCACATTCGTCTCCTGAGACACATCGGCGGCAACATTGTCAGGTCGAGAAGCCATAGCCAGACCTGCCGCACCGACTGCTACTTGCAGCCCCGCCGCAGCTACTTTGTCTTGGGGTCCCTTGCTCCTCTTCGTGCAAGGGTGCTGGTGACAATCTTATGGCGCCGCCCCGCATCCCTTGAGGATCCCTAATGAGTTCCGTGGGTTCCTGAGGGTTCTCTGAGGGTCTCTGGCGCCGGGCCTCGTATGCTTTGATGTGTTTGCTTTGCTTGCCTAGCTTTAGGTAGTTTGCTTTGCGCTGCGTTGCCTCGGTGCGTTCTGCCTTGCCTGACGTTGCTATTCTCACATACGGGAAGCGATGCAATGGCATGATGTACACTGCTACGTGACGCCCGCATCTCATATTATCTGGCATGCTACGCAGTAGCATATGATGGTTGACCTGACCATGCCATGCCCACGCAGATCAGTACGATTAAACCCAAATATGTTACTATGGTCTGCACTGCCACGATGGAAACCAACATGAACATCAATCATATGATATGGTACGCGCTAGGTTGTCATGTCATATGTCGTAAGTCGATGGTACGGTGCACAATGTTATACCAAACTGCTACGCAGAGCGAATTCATACCATGTCCCGCTAATGAGACACGTTGATCTGCTAAGCGATAAAATGCAATGCTACGCCACGAACTGCTATGCTGCACACTTTCATGCGATGTAATGATGTACTTCAATGCTACCCTAACCAATGCTACGTGATGCCACGATGACCTTCACTGCGCCATTCGGTGTTCTACTTCGCGACGTCGTGTTCCCTTTCAAGTGCTATGCGATGCCATTATGCTCAATGATATGCCATGCTACACCATGTGTTGCGAACCAGTACTGCGCAGTGCTGCTAAGCCATGGCTGTGAAGGCGGAAGCTCGAGGAATGAGAACGGATAGAAGGATCAACATTCAAGGATTTGGGCCCTGCGGAAGGGCAGCAGCAAGACAAGGAACAAGCGAAGAGCGAAGACCATCATGCTCGGTCCCATGTTACTTCCAACCTGCCGTCAAGGCGCAGGGACCGCGCCGCGAAGAGTGTCGCAACGCACATCCTGCGAGCCAGTCCAGCGGCGACGTGGCTGCGCGCCCGGCCCCCCCCGCGCTACAGGCCTCGGAACAAATTAGCGAACACTCATGCCACACTCATCCGTCAACGCCTCCCCCTCCCCCCAATGTTCAAAGTTGGCGGTGGGTCTGACGAGATGCACTTCGACCGCGGTCTCCCCCGCGCGTGCCAACGTTGAGTTTGGGGGGGAGGGGGAGTGTTCAGTAATTGTTTTCCCTCTACCGTATCACTCGGGCGGGCAGGCCGAATTGGACCCCGCTCTCTAAACTTCAGAAGGTCGTCGTCCATCCTGTCGCTTACTGCGGCGCGGCCTCCGCCGCTTCAGGCGGCGCGTCTCGGGTGGACTCTGCAATCTCGGCGCGGCGCATCGGGTCGTTCTTCAGGAGGTAATGCGCCAGCCACTCCACTGGGTTCTCGGGCCGCTCCTCCGCCACCGCGGTCATGGCGGGCAGCAACGTGGGCACCACGTACTGGTCCAAGTACTGCCTTGCGCAGAGGATACCCGTCGGTCGGAAGAAGTGGGTAGAAACATATGAATTGGGAAAGCGCCGAACGTAGATTGGGTGTTCGCCCGCCCCCTGAGGAGGAAGAGGGAACACCACTCGACTCTTAAAGCAGGAAGGCGACTGAACGAGGAGAAGGAGGAGGAGGAGGAGGAAGAGGAGGAGGAGGAGGAGGAGGAAGAGGAGGAGGGGGAGGGAGAGGAGGGGGAGGGGGAGGGGGAGGAGGAGGAGGAGGAGGAGGAGGAGGAGGAGGAGGAGGAGGAGGAGGAGGAGGAGAAAGAGGAGGAGGAGGAGGAGGAGGAGGAGGAGGCGCAAATTGGGGCTTGGGCATTCAAAACCACATAATTTCAACGACCGCCGGGTAGCCACGCACCACAACGGCCATGCCCGGCCAAGGCCATGCCTGGGCCCCGGCACGGAGTGCAGGCCCTCCTCGCCGCTGCCGGGAGCCTCTGCGCACCACCCCTGGGACCCGAGACGGCCCTGGCCAAACATTCGGGGGGGCACAAAGGTGGGGTAAGGGCAAAAGTTGGGTTGGGGAGAAAATCGCTCCGGACAGCCCCTGGAAGAAGCAACCGCATTAAACGGGAGCATCCGGCTGGGCCCGTTCCCCAGCCCCACCTTGGGGCAACCCTCCCTCTGCGAACCCCCGAAACCTGTTGGTGGTGTGCGCGAGACCGCAGAAAAGCGGCATCGCCCAACCAGGAACATCGGCTCTCCGTTTCGGCTCCTGCCGTGCGTGTGAGGCGAAGCAACACAAAATTTTGCACCAAAAGGCCGGACTCTAGCCATCATGACTCGCGGAGCGGCGCTCGGGGCGTGCACGGGGCTTTTCCGCGGTCGTCGGAATTTGTCCCGCGGCTGTCCCGCGGCTGTCCCGTGGTTGCCTCGTGGTTGCCGCGTGGCAGCCCACTATGGCCATTGGCGCAGCGTGCTTCCTGAGCGTCGAAAACGCAAGTTCTGAATAAATCGCATGGCAGTCACGGGCGAGAGCGCACTTGCTGAATAAAATTGAAGGGTTCTCTGGCGGGAGCGGGGGTCTTGATTAAATTGCGAAGGAGTCTTGATTCAATTGCGGGGAAGTCTCAAGCGGGAGCGCGGTTCCTGAGTAGATTGTGAGGAAGTCTCAGATGGGAGTGGGGGTTTTGATTAAATTGCAAGGATCTGAATAAATTGTGAAGATGTTTGAAGAGCAGGGGTCCTGAGTAAATTTGGAGGAAGTCTCAGGCGGGAGCCGTTGTTGTTGTTGTAATCCGAGGGGCCAAGGGCCCAGTTTGAGCACCAAGACTTTCTTTGTCAAAAAACAAGGTGCGAGCGTCGAGGGGCACACTTTGATTGAGAAAAAGCAGCATGCACGGGTGAGGGGGGATCAGCAATAAGTATTCTTCAAAAACAAAGAATTCAACAACGACAACAACAACAACGTTGTCGTCGTCGTCGTTGTCGCCGTCGTCGTCCTCCCTCCTCCCTCGTCGTCGTCGTCGTCGTCGTCGTCGTCGTCGTCGTCGTCTTCATTGGCGACGTCATCGTCGTCGTCGTCTTCGTAGTCGTCGGCGTCGTCGTCGTCGGTATCGTCGTCGTCGGTGTCGTCGTCGTCGTCGTCGCCGTTGTCGTCGTCGATGTCGTTGGAAACGTCGTCGGTGTCGTCGTAGTCGTTGTCGGCGGCGTCGCCGTCGTCGTTGTCGCTGTCGTCGTCGGCGGCGGTGTCGTTGCCAAGTCCCACTTCGCACCGACCGCCACGGTGTCAAGAGGTCTCGTGACCAAGTTGCGGGTGGGATGGCGGGATGTTCGCACGAGCAGTGGAGAAGACAGCTTCGAGACAGTCAAACTGAATTGCACGCCGTTGATTCTCCTTTCTAAAAGATTAATAGATTCTCCCCCCCTCCCCCCCCAGACTTATCGGTTCCCCCTGGGATAGTATGATTTCATATATATTCTGCACACTCGTCCATCCTAAATATGAATTCATACTATCCCAACCAAACTGGGTTCCCCCCCTGCGGTTCCATTGTAAAAAACACTATGCGGTGACATGTTTTGTTCTAACATAACACTTTTTTCGGGAATCCCTTTTGCAAAAAATGGGAAGTGCGCGCGCGCGTCGTCGCGCGCGCATGCGAAAATCCTTCAAAAACCTTCGGTGCCAGAAGGATTTCGCAATCGACTTCCCAAAACACATGCAAAAACACAAGGTTTCGCAACACTGATTTGCTCAAAAAGCTTACGCGCAAGCTCTTGCGAAATCTGAAGAAGAACCATAGGTTTTCCAATAGTTTCACAACATGCTACCAAACGGGCGTCGCGCGCGCGCGCATGTCGAAATCTGTCGAACGCCCTTGCGCGTGTGCCGTCGCGAGAATCCTCTGCCCCCCCTCAAAAAAAAACACCAAGTGCAGACCCGCGCGACGTCGCGCGCGTATGCCGAAATCCTTCAAAACCCATCAGATTCGGAAGGATTTCAAAATCGTGCGTCCAAAAAGCTTACAAAAACACCAGGTTTCGCAACGCGGATTTTCAACAAAAGCGTGCGCGCGCGCTCTTGCGGCGTCGTCGTCGTCGTCGCCGACGTCCTCCCTCCTCCCGCGTCATCGTCGTCGTCGCCTACGTCGTCCTCTGTTCTTCCTCGTGTTCGTCGTCGTCCTCTTTGGCGTCGTGGTCGTTTCCGTCGTCGTTGTCGCCGTGGTCGTCCTTCCTCCTCCTCCTCCTCCTTCGTCGTCGTCGTCGTCCGTCGTCGGCGTCTCGTCGTCGTCCCTTCTATTTCGTTGCCGTCGTCGTCGTCGTCGTCGTTGTCGTCGTCGTCGTTTTTTCTCCTCCCTCGTCGTTGTCGTCGTCGGCGTCGCCATCCTTACTCCTTTTTCGTCGTTCGCGTCGTCGCCGTCCTCCCTCCTCCCTTGTCGTTGTCGTCGTTGTCGCCGTCGTCGTCCTCCCTACTCCCTCGTCGTCGTCTTCGTTGGCGACGTCGTCGTCGTCTTCGTCGTCGTCGTCGGCGTCGGCGTCGTCGTCGTCCTCGTCGTCGACGTCGGCGTCGTCGTCGTCGTCGCCGCCGTCGTCGTCGTCGTCGTCGGCGTCGTTGACGTCGTCGTCGTGGTCGTCGGTGTCGTCGTTGTCGTCGTCGCCGTCGGCGACGTCATCGTCGTCGTCGTCGTCATCGTCATCGTCGTCGTCGTCGTCGGCGTCGTCGTCGTCGGTGTCGTCGTCGTCGTCGACGTTGTCGGCGTCGTCGAAGTCGTTGGAGACGTCGCCGGTGTCGTCGTACTCGTTGTCGGCGTCGTCGTCGTCGTCGTCGCTGTCGTCGTCGGCGCCGCTGTCGTTGCCAAGTGCCATTTGGTACCCACCGTTACGGTCTTCAGAGATTGTGTAAACCAAGTTGCAGGTGGGTGGGTGGGATGTTTGCGCGAGCAGTGGAGTGGACAACGCACGGCGAACAGAAATTGATTGATCACACCGCATCGGCTCTCCTTGTCTGAAACTGTATAAAGATCTTCCCCACCCCCGCCCTTTCGAATTTAACAGCCCCCCTTTTCCGCATTGCAACGTGCATGCAAGTCTGCCCCACCGTCCATCCCAACTATGAATTCAGACCACCCCAACCACGCCAGGAACTGTTCACTCCCTCATCCTCTGCTCTTGCCAACAAAAAAAAAAAACAATACGCGCGCGCTCGCGCGTCAACAATCGTCAATGTGCAAGACCCCCTTTCTAAACAAAAAACTTGAAACGAAGCGCGCGCGCGTCGTCGAGCGCGCGCTCTGAAGTCTGCAGAGCAAAAACCTTGGGACCCGCGCGGGTTGCAAAGGCGACTGGCACAAACCTGAACACAAAACACATGGCTCTGCAACCAAGACCCACGTGCTCATGCCATGCTACGAAACGGGCCTCTCGCGTGCATGCCGAAATCGTTCGACCGCCCTTGCGCGCGCGCGCTGTCGATAGAGTCCTTCGCAACAAAAAAACAGAATGGGGCGGAGTGCGCGCGCGACGTCGCGCGCGCGTGCCAAAATCATTCAATTGCCTTAAGTGTCGGATGGGTTCCACAAACGAGCGCCCTGAAACTGGAAACAAAACATGGTTTTGCAACATCAGCTTCAATTCAAGAAGAAAGCCTGTGCGCGCCCTGTCTGATTTTGACGAAAACCAGAAGTTGTTCAACATTGTCATCAATTTCTGCCAAGCGGGCCCCTCGCGCGCCATGTCGACCTCGCCCGAAGGCCCTCGCGCGCGCGCTGGCGGCGTGTGTGTGTGGGGGGGGGGCGCGATTCGCATCAAATGGCGCCGCGCGGGCCACTCGCGCTCCCCGGCCGCGCGCGCGTCAAACTCATTCCAAAACCTTCATCGCCGATGCGTGGGCGTCGCCATCGTCGTCGGCGTGCGCGATCAACGTCGGCGCCGTCATTGGTCTCGCCGTCGTCATTGCCACCATCGTCGCCATCATCGCTACTCTCACCATCGTGTCCGCTGGCGTCGGCGTCGTCATGATACCGCACCCGCCCGAATCACGGACTCGCGCTGAAGTGCCCGCTGGAAGTCGCGCGCGCGCATGTCGAAATCTGTCGAACGCTCTTGCGCATGTGCCGTCGCGAGAATCCTTTGCAAAAGTGCGACAAAGTGCAGACGCGCGCGTCGTCGCCTTCAAAATCCATCGGTTTCGGAAGGATTTCGACATCGCGCGTCCAAAAAACATTAAAAACACACACACACAAGGTTTCGCAACACGGACTTTCAACAAAAGCGTGCGCGCGCGCTCTTGCGGCGTCGTCGTCGTCGTCGTCGCCGTCCTTCCTCCTCCCGCGTCGTCGTCGTCGTCGCCTACGTCGTCCTGTGTCTTTCCTCGTGTTCGTCGTCGTCGTCCTCTTTGGCGTCGTGGTCGTTTCCGTCGTCGTTGTCGCCGTGGTCGTCCTTCCTCCTCCTCCTCCCTCGTCGTCGTCGTCGTCGTCGTCCGTCGTCGGCGTCTCGTCGTGGTCCCTCCTATTTCGTCGCCGTCGT